TCCTTGTGGATCTACCTCTGATAATGATACCCACGTTGGGCTTTAAGTTTATGATTCATGACTAGCATCTACATTGGATCAGTTGGAGCCTTAGGGTGTAGCTGCTGGCACTTTTTCCCCGTAGATGTGGTCGTGACGGGCCGGCTTTCTTCTGCACTGGCAATGACTGTGACCATGATAGTCAGCTGCAGGTCATGGTATTCAAGAACAGTATGAGAGCTGACAACACATCATGTGTAAGTATGCTGTCTGGAGCTTGTTAAAGCCTGAGACCCGTGTCCAAATTAAGCTCATACTTTTCTAGCCGCACATGCCCTGGAAGGAGTGGGATGCGAAAGCCCGCTCCATGCACCAGGCAGGCTTGGCGAAAAGTGGGCGAAACTGTTCAACCTGAAATGTAGGGATAGCAACAGGAATATTATAGAAGAGTGGTATCCATGGAACGTGTCAGATGAAGAGGGGTGTTTCCAGAGATGGTGTAGTGCATCAATCTTCCGACAAAACAAACACAGGTCCCGTTGTGAGGGGAGACGAACAACAGACAACAAAGCAGTAATTGTGTGCTTTGGGAGCTTCCTAAAAAGGCTTTGCAGAGCCGCATTGGGTCAGGATCCAAGGTGTTACTATTCTCATGTTATCTGTCTTGAATATGGAGGGGTCCCCCCGGATCACCACAGAACAAAATGTCTGTTTCTGCACTAGTCTACATGAGCCGTTATTGTTGTGTTTCATAATGCATTCTACCCAGTTCTTGCAAGGCAACCCTTTCCCGTACTTTCTGCTTGATTTGGCTAGCTGGCTGTCAAGCTTCTGCTGTCTGCTGGGAGGCCCAGGCATCATCCTTGCGGAAGGATTGCCAGCAGCATGCTGCGGGCGGGCGGGGGAATTTCTGAACATATCCATCCCAATCCTCAACAGTTTGACAGCTGGGGTCAGAACGCATCACTAGGCAGAAGGAGAGGTCTCTCATAGAGTGCTTCTCGACAGACGCAAAATGTCACTATGGATTGACCAGAAATAGTGAAGCTGTTCTTGGATTGGCGAATGCACTTGGTCCTGCGTCGGACCTGCATCCTACATGAATCAAAATGTGGCTTTCAATGTGTGGAAGTCCCGTAGTTCTACCTTCTTGCAACTTCTCCGACCTTTCAGAAGCTTGGTGGAAGGAAAAGCCACCAGATTTCCACCTGTTTTATGACTTTAGGTTTGACTCTACCCTGCTCGGCTCTCCAACTTGTATCTTCTCAGGTCGAGACTTCATGTTTTGCAGCCCAAAACCCTAGACCCCAGCTAAACGGTAAAGCGTAGGCAAAAACTCAAAGCCAACGCAGGCCGTCCCCTGAGGGTCACCGGGAGTCCATTGCGGCGGCATAGAATCTTCTTGTCATGTTTTGAGAAAACCACGGCTCCAGCCAGCAGTCTAGCATAAGCCCCGCCCTATAATGGTCTGTGTATTTGTCCAATTTCAGAGCCGCCCCCCAAACGTGGCTACAAGTATCAGAGACATCCACAGGAAAGGGACCATCATTTTTAGAAACTCCCATCCCGAAACCCCATAATTGGACTACTAAAATTTCGTTCTTCCACTTCATACCCGGCTGGAAATGGTATCCCAAGAAAACACCGGGCTCGGACGTAGGGCAAAAGGCTCCCTATTCTCTTTAGCCCTCTTGGACTTAGGTCCTAACCAATATCATCAACCCTACGACCTAAAGGCAATCAGGTTCTTGGGAATTCAACACCAAAGCTTTGAAACAAAGGAGTGTACTTCGGTCCATTTGAGTGAACCAGATTGAACATAGAACAGGCGTGTTCAAGTGCATGAGGCCAATATACATGTGACAGTCCCGCTGGAAGCAGGTTCGTGCGCGTGCCTTCCGTTGAGGAACGGACCGCTCGTTCTGCGATTGCATTGGACTGATGTGTAAGCCTTGCTGAGCTCATGACGCCATCCTAAGGACGAAGCAGCCTTAACCAAGTCTTTGCCGTTGTCACTATAAAAAGATCCAACTGAGTCTCGGTTTGAGGTGAAATGGGTGAGTGCTTTATAGCATTCATCTTCGGATTTGAGAGCAGAGGGGTAAGCATGCGTGAAGGTAGTCGCCACATCCTTGATGACAAGTGCGAGTCTGGAATCCTCTGTCACACTTTCGCTATCACGATAGATAACCACGTGGTCAGCTGTGATGTGATTTCCGAATTCCTTGCATGGCTTCTTTAGCGGTAACGCCTTTGCCCGAATATGATGGAGTCTTATACATCTTAGCTGGCTGACAGATCTCGCAAAAAGGGTTCTTGGGTGTGTGACACAAAAGGTGACTTGGCTTCCTTCTTCAGGCCTCAATCCCTCTACTTCTTTTCTCTTCTTCCGCTTTTGAGTCTACGCGCGGAACTTCTGAGGATGACTTCTCAGGCGGCGGCTAGGAACGAACCGACATCTGGGGCACTGATGGGTCCTTTCGGAGGACCACTACCCGACGGTACCTCAGCCTCGACGTCTGTTGCGTCGTCCAGAAGATTTGCGACAAAATCGGCATCCTCTTCAGGAGGATGAATGATGTCTTTTGTTTTCCTTTTCGGTGAAGTTTTGTGCTTTTATCATTCTCGTAAAGCTCGAATAGGGTGAGGTCGTCATCAGGATCACGTGGCTTTATGGGCAGGTGATGACGGAAAACTAGGCTTCTGCATCACGAAACCGAGCTTGCGCAGCGCGCCAATCTCTTCATCAGATAGCTTGTGGCATGCCCTATTCGTATACGCAGTAATTGACCAGCGATCTCCCTCCCACTTTTCAAGGCAGAGGTAGTCCTTGGGATTGAACTTGACAAGCTTGCACTTGGTATCCGTGGTCCTTCCAAGACCGATGGTACCATTTGGCAGCTTTTTTCGAACGCCGTCTCCCTGAACGCCTTCATCATGAATCCAAATACCACCTTCGTTGTAGTCTCCTAGTCCCAATGAGAAACTAACTGAATCGTATTTGTTGTGGGAATCTGTGTGGATCTTAACTGAGGACCCATGGTTTATGCACAGTGATGAAAAGGGTTCATCAACGCCAATGGACTTCATGTAAGCACAAAGGTACTTGGTCAGCTCGGGGTGATCCTTAGTCTTGTTGCTAATGCCCGCTACACCACCATGACAGAAAACACCTAGGACCGCGTACTGTGCTGAGCCGTTAGGTCCGCCGGCCTTGCTTGTAATGGCTGATCGTTGGGCACCTGGGCCCTTGAACCTAGCTTTACTAATCAGCTCAAGGCACGATTTGTGAGTGAAGTCTTTCTCCGTTAGGAGCTTTTTCGCGAGTAATTCTGACTCATCAAGCACTGGACCCTTCCTTTCATCGGCTGCTTGTACTGAACTATGCTGTATACGCGAAGCAGGGGCGGCAGTGTTTTCTGGCCACGGTTTGAGGTAGGGTACGTTATCCCTAACGTCTAGATAGATCTTCTGACCCTTTGGCGTCTTCAAGTATGGTCTATGATAAGCTTTCCATACAAGATCAAACCCTTCATCATACATCTCTGCCCAATGGATAACACAGCGGGGGTGTCCGGCAGAACGTAGGGATCAGACGCGATGCCAGTAGATGGAACATTAACCGCGAATTGCTTGTCAGCCGAACTGGGACCATTTGTTGTCGTGATATTGATTGGGTGATCCGGATCCCTAGCTTTCACCCCCGAGAGACCACGTTCCGATATAAGGCCTTGTGCACTTCCCGTATCACCAATCCATTCGATATCCAAAGTGGGAAGTTTGTTGGAACTACGGGCAGGACACGTGACCGTTAGGTCCGCGGGAATGCAATGCTTGCACCCGAACTCAGTGTCACATTCATATTTGCATGTTGCGGGAACATTATTTGCATCCTGCAGGATGGTGGCTCTGAGCGACTTTGCGGAAGCTTGCGCTCCCTCCGGCTTCTTTTCCGCGCAGCGCGTTTTCAGGAGAGTGAGGTGGCGACCTGCCCGCGCCCGTGCATCGAGCGCGTGGTGTTTTCCTGGGATGCATTTCCAGCCGGGGATGAAGTGGAAGAACGAAATTTTAGTAGTCCCAATCAATGCCTTATCAGCGTGGACGGCAGCCCTTTGACCATTCTCCGCTAAAGCTGCAGTCTCTAATCCCCCTTTGCCATGAGCCCCCCCATGAATACTGCGATATAGCACCATCACCCTCACGCGATGCAGGGATTATTTGCTTTTGGTAGCCAACACCATACAGGAATAGTAAGATTACAGTATATCCTCCTGTTGAATTTATAGTATGATTTTCTAGAAAGAATAAGTCTCCTACTTGTTAAATACCAAGAAACGCTACTCACACAGGAGTACACCTTCTTAATGCATGCCGAGACGACCGGTCTGCGAGAGGAGCTTGCTTTGGGTTGGCCTTGTTCTTTGCTCTGATCCTGAACATATTTTCTTTATTAATGCTTTTCTCTACAATCCTAACATTCGGCTGACACTACAATCTCTACCAGGGTCCCGGGGAGCTTAACGGATCGTCGTAATTTCAATCAGAGTGCAGATCAGCCATACACAATCTATTAGATTGTGGTTGGAAAATACGCTCGAGATTTTAAATTGTAGAAACATCGTTTCTGCCATCAACCCAATACTGAAGCAGCGTAGCAGCGGTAGCTGCAGCCCAGTCCACGAAGATACATTTGCAGTAGCGTAACGGCTAACTTTATTCTTTCCTCAAGACGGCTGGAGATGCTGCATCTTGCACCAGGATGCGCTTGGTATCTGAGAACGTTGAGCATGTTGCAAGTCCCAATTCCCGACAAATCCCAAGTCTATACCCTGCAGCATGAACAACGAAACCACCTAAGAATCCAAAATCTTACAGCGGATATTGAATACAGATCCTGCATGACCGAAAGCGATTTATATCTTTGTTCAGTATATTCAGTTCATGTAGGATTTCTAGCATGAAGCGTACAATTCCTAAGCCCTAAATCCTTTAACATTCAAAAATTGCAGGAGCTCTTGGGCATGTCTGCATCCGCCACAGCAGAGCTGAAGACGGGCCAGGACTTGCAGCTGAGCTGCTCGGACCGCTAGATTTGGGAGGTTGTAAATGTTTCGGGCTTAGGATTTAGGCTTTATAGGGCTTCGGGTTTAGGGCTTAGAGGGCTTAGGATTCAGTCTTTAGAGGGTAGGGCTTAGGGCTTAAGATTTCGAATTTGGGGGTTTGGGTTAGGGATTTAGGGTTTAGGGTCGGGGATTTAGGGTTTCGAGGTTCAGGTGTGAATACTGTAGGGGAAGAAATGAGCGCCATTATTCGCAATGGTGGGGAATAAAATGAGAAAGTCCATGAACAATACAATGGGTTTTGGCTGTATACCTGTTTTTGGTTGTATCGGTTTGGGTCTTTTTTGGGATTCAGGGATGTCAGACACCCTATACCAAAAAGCCCTGAACCCTCAACCGCGTTGATGTGTGGTGTCTGGCGGCTGAGGCAATATCCTGAAGCCTATGAGTTTGGGTTTTTGGGGTGGAGGGCTGTGCGGCTAGGGCTATGAGCTACTTACCTCATGCATTACCAATATTTTCTCCTTAAACCAGCCCTCCTGCAACCAAAGTACTTTATGCCTCAAGACCCCATTCCAATCACTTAGGCCCCTTCAGTTCAGGTGTCTTTGGTTTGCCAAGGAATATTACTCTTGCAGATGGCATCCCATGTTCTTACGCAGGAACATGTTAAGACTACTTGTAGATGCTTTTTGAGGGAGGGCCATCCGGATAGACCACTGCAGATTGCAACGAAAACCTGCATAAGCCCCCCTAAGCAAAACCTCTAAATCACTTTGAGACCCTCTTTTGAACCCAAGCTTCCTGGAAAATGTGTTGCTCAGGCGAGTTCCGAGAAGCTTTGAAGGGAACAGAAGCAGAGATCAAGGCGGCTGACTGCTTTTGGGCTTTTAGAGTTGAGGGTATTGGGCTGTTCAATTCGAATCATGGAGAACCAAATGGGAAATGCACAAAAGCATGACATGAAGTCTTGGATGATTTTGTGCTATTATATTAGGGACTGTTCACTGAAGGTGTTGGTTTATATCAGTTGTATATCAGTAACATCAGGATGATTAAGGAGCAATATTGCACTGGAAAAGCCCTAAGCCCCTAAACTCTAAACCCTTAAACCGGAAGGTGGAATGGATTGAGTCCCAGCATTGCGCTCGTTTAACGGGGTTCCTTAGCCGAGGGGCACCGTATTACAAGACACAGCAGTGTGAGATTGTTGTGCTTTCTATAAGGATTTGAAGTCTACAGCTCTGTTTCGGCGGCCTGCATTATTGATTTATGTTGTTGTTGATCTTGTCTTTGCTTGATGCGGTTGTTCGAAAGCTGTTGTGTCATAGCGCTAGGGACTCGGGGAGCACTTCCATGTTCTATGCTTGAATGTTGCTGTAGGCTTCATCACACAATCTCCGTGTATGTAGCCCTGTAGGTTCTAGCGCAGTATGTTCTTTATCTAACAACGTTTGCGACTGCTTGGCAATCTCGCAAACCCTCAGGTCCTTGCGTTGCAGCGAGGTAAGCGTAGTGTACCTGCAGCACGGCTGACTTCCTAAGAGCTTCTATTCAGTCACTGAGGCAGTTTATCCTGGGCCCATAGGCTCCATAGGTCAAAAAAAAGAGACTACACAGTAGATGCCGAAGCCAGCCTGATCTCCTGCATTATCAGTTCAAGGCATCAACTAGACGCCAACACCCTACAACCGCAACTCCAAATCTTACATGCCCCAAGACGATACTCCAAACCCTATGTACCCCAACTTGTTCCCTTCCAAATGCCCATACTTTGCCAAAATCCCTTGGGGCCTTGAAGCGTCCAGGGCCCTCCATACTTCCCTCCCATCCCGGCACAGCAAAGTCTCCAACCCAACACCGTGCATGGAATGCCACATGCTCTGCCCACATTGTCATCAGCACTCGAACATCATACCCCATGACCGTGTAGTCTAAACACTCATGCACCACCCCTAGTGAATCCCAATGATGATTAAGGAATGTCCTCCATCTTCGGCCCGTACCATATATAGGTTGCACCGGTATACCCTACAACCAAGCATCCTCAATCCTTGGATCCACCAACTTCTTTCCCCAACGCTAAGAAAGCCCCCTTACCCTGACATCTTCCAGGCAATTGAAGTATGCCGTGCATGTTTAAGGAGTCTTGGGGTATAGCCACGACACCCCCGACATCTTGCTTGATCTGATATTAGGGTCCTACCTCCCGAAGAAATGGAATACTTCACGTTCGGAAGTGGGCTTGGGACTTAGTGCTGAATCCTAGACCTTCACTCCATTTTTAGTTGCAAATAACCCAGTAAACGTCTCTGAATCCTCAAGTCTCCAACCCTCAACCTGATACTCCGCATCCTCAACATCAAATCACTAAATCCCATAAGCCACAAACCCTAAACCCTTTTAGGCATCAACACTATGCTTTCAATCTGGTCCCTAAGCCCTAAATGCTAAACCCTAAACCCTACGTCCTAAACCCTGAACCCTAAACCCTAAAAATCAACCGGAAGCCTCAACTCTCAGCCTTTTCTTCAGGGTTCCAAAGGAGCTATAGTCTAACCTCCTTAAAGGGGGGATTCTATAGGGGATTATAGGGTTTATATAGGGACTATAGGGGGATTATATGGGGATTATATAGGGTTTAGGGTCTGAGGTCCTTAAAGGAGGTAGAGGACTGCTTTGGGGGCTTATTAAGCGGGATACTAGGAGTTTAGACTAAGGCTCCACGTAGCTCAATGTACATACTTAATCCCCTATATAACCCCCTTTAGAGACTTTAGACCCTAAACCCGAAGCCCTATATAATTGGCACCCGACGGAAGTGTTATTTATCATCTGAGAGCCCCAGGCCCCCCAGACCCTGACACCTCATAATTTCTAAGCCCTATGTCAGTACCCCTTGAACTTCCTATAAACCTCATAAAACCACTATACTGTAACCCCTCTGTAACCACAACATGATCCCTTGTAATAGTTTCCATTTTCTTGTCCACTATTACTATATACCCCCCTATATACACCTATATACACCTACCCTGTGTGTAGTGCCCTAGAGCTGAGCACTTGCAGCAGGGGCTGAAAACGGCCTTAGCTGGAGCGGCAGCGCGTGCTGAGGAGGATGCAGCTTCGAAGGTCGGTCAGGGTTTAGGGTTTTATGGTTTCAGAGCTTTGGTTTTAGGATTTCAGGGTTTTAGGGTTTAGGGCTTAGGGTTTTGCGGTTTAGTTCAGGTTTGTCTGGAGCCTTGGCGAGGACCCCCGTAGATTCTGGGAAGCAAGCGGGGGCCTATATGCTCATACAGGAAGATGTAAAGTTATGCAGCGTAATGGTAAAACCCCAAACCCTAAACCCTAAAACCCTAAACCCTAAACCCTAGGTTAGAGGGCCCTCCTAAGAGCCTTAGAGTTTAGGGTCAGGGCTCATGGTTTGTTACCCCAATAATGCGGAGCAAGATGGAAAAACATGGAAAGCGAAATGGATACTGGGATTATACACGGTGGTTTATGGGGTTCAGGGCCTGGGGCTTGGGATCTATCACCTCAAGAAAAGAGAGTCAAATGAGAAAGAACATAGAAAGTATTTTGATGCCGGGAGTATACCCAGTGGTTTATAGGGTCTCGGGTTCAGGGCGTTGGGGTTTTGGCATTGCGGACCAGTGTTCATAGTGTAGTTGGTGTTCGCTGGCTTGGTGTTCACTGCACTATGCTGTCTTTGGCGACAGCTTGTTTTCTGGCAGCGTAAGAGGAGTAAAACAAGTTAGAGGGCTTCATTGGATGCCAGGTCTCAAGTTTTGGTGCATAACCTCCAAGGGTCTAGATTTGAAGTTCTCATGTGTGCACATTTCGGCATGTATGGCATGGAAGTCACAGCGTGACCCAATCTGACGCACGGTTTTTATGTGGATTGAGGCCCCATACCGAAATCATGAACCATACGCCTTTAAACCGAAGCCTCAAACCATGAATCCTGAACCCAAGTGAGCTGTAGTCTAAACTCCTTCAATGGGGGATTATACAGGGGAGTATTATGGGGTTCATTTAGGGGGATACAGGGAGCTTAGACTATGGCTCAAATTGTTTTACATCAAGGTCTACCTCGGGCGGTGCTGTCGAGCATTACCCGACACTTCACTGATAACGGACTCTGCGAGACTTCCTGGCTCATTGAACGTTCCATTTTCCATAGCTTGCTGATCCTAAGAGCATATTCCACAGAACTGCCCAGAGTGTCCTTGGCAACCACAGGACGAGCATAATCTCTCAAGACTATGCTCTATGCTTTGGGATCAAGGTATCTAGTAGGATTCTCTGCTGTTCGAAAGCAAACCACCCGTGCCATGTCTTTGGGCAATGCCTCCAAGTCTAAATAGAGGTTTCCAACCGCCACAAAGCAATCCTAGCCTAAAGATGCGCAAAGTGCCCAGCTACTTAGGGGTTTAGGGTTTAGGGCACTGAAAGGCAAACCTCTTGTCTCAGATGGACGGCCTCCGCTCCTTGATCTCAATTCATATTAGGGCATGGGCAAAAACCTTTCTGTCCACTTGCATCCTTCATGGGTGAACATGGGACTCGGAAGTAACTTATAGTTGGATTCATGGGAATTTTTGGTCGGTCTTTGATTTCAAGTGACAGCAAGCTTCCACTAACCTGTGCCATCCAGGCATCTTGACTAGACTCGAAGTTGATTTGACTAGGGTTTAGGGTTTAGGGTTTAGGGTTTAGCGTTTAGGGTTGATTTGACTCAACCTCTACTTTCTAGTTGTCAGTAGGGGATGCAGGAATGAAAAAGAAGATGGAAACTACAATGGCATTATCTAGGTAGGGGCTGTCTTAGTAATCTATTCCTGCCATCCCTACTAACAAGGGTTTAGGGCTTAAAGGGTTTCGGGTTTAGGGTTCCAGTAAGACCACTGAAGTCCCTGATTTTAGACTATTTCTTGACTCCCTGGTTTAGGGTTTAGGGTTTAATGGTGAAAGGTACCGCTGCATGGATAGGGTTTCCTAGCATCGGCACGGTTTATATCTGGAAGTCAAATTGCCTATGTACAGGGTTTAAGGGTCTGGGGTATCGCTGTCCAGGTTCTTTTATGACTGCAGAAGCCGAGCAACCCTTCATTGTAGGCACCGTAGACGGAAATAGGGCTAACGAAGAGTATCCCACTGAAAAGGTGGCTGAGCTTCTGGGGCTAGTGAAGTTAGGAGGCCGCAAACGGCTGATGCGGGTGTTCCATGGACACAATAGTTCCTGATTGAAAACTTAGGAAAACATGTTGTGATGCACTTCCTTTTCAGAGTATCTTGTTTTGGTGAAGGGATGCAGGGTTCAAGCTTTTGAGACCTGGGTGCCGGGTACGGGGTGCACGTGCAAGGTTTGAAGCCTTTTGAAGTGCCACAGAATGAACAGACTAGGAGGCTGAAGATGCATTCCTCCTTCCCAACTCTCTGGGCGAATCATGACGACCTCACTGGACTGCACCCACATGATGGTTCGTTTAATGAACAGTCTCATAGTGGGATAATATCAGGTCTTGAAACTATTTTAAAATTGACAGACTTCTGTGGTTCTCATCGGGAAACCATGCCGTGTGGCTTCAGCCGTACAGTCGGGTTCGCGGCTCATTGGAAGCCATCCGGTGCATGAGGAGTTGGACTTTGGATGGGGAGCAGGACTTGTTATCACTATTGTTGTTATTGTTGTTACGGGAACTCCCATTATTATCATCATTAGTTCTGTCTTTGAATTATCACAAAAGTGGAGATTTCATAGCAGACGCTGCATCAACTACCTGTATGACTTACGGTGGGTGGTTTTATGTAACACCTTCCGAGTTCTCCAGGCATCCAATCATGATGTGTAGGCTTTAGGGGCATCTCGTGCAAGAAATATGTAGATTTGATATGATTTGCTGTTGAGGATCTCAAGCGACGCCTTGCATTGGTTGTTGGTTTTGCTTATGATGTGAATACCTAGATGGAAGCGCGTCTTTCCGCATATACGTGCGTAGCCGTAAACGCTGGACTCGTGACGCGTGCATTCGCTGAGTACAGCAAACCCCATGTTCCGAGGAAGCGAGGCGGCCAAGCTGTACGGACAGATACTGGGTTGCTGTTAAGGAACTTAAATTAAGTTACTGTATTGGGGAAACCCTATTATTTACCATATATACCCATTATGGTAACTTAAACCCTAAACCCTGAACCCTATATATCCCCATTATAGTAGTTTCCATTTTCTTTTCCATTATCCCTATATATACCCATTATGGTAACTCAATTTAAGTTCCTTAAATCCCTATATTCCCCCAGTTTCCATTTCATTTTCCATTGTATTTTCCATTTGATT